TAAAAAATGATAAAACCAAGTCAAGCTCACAAATGTGTTGACTTATTTATTGTACATTCGATTAACAAGAACTATTGAACGAAATTTGTTGCTTGTAGAACAAGCTCAACAAGTAAATGAAACAAAAGAGCAATCTAATAAAGCAGTCAATAAAAAAAAGGCATTGGGTAAACCAACTGAAGGAAAAACAGAGCCTAAGAAAGTGAACATTCAAAATATTGCTAGGTTGTATGAGATAATAATACAAATGTTTTAGAATTGCAACAGCTTCCTGGTATGGAAACAGATGACTCTTTCCTATCAGAGATGGATATCCTCCTGAAATCTTTTAAAGCTTTTCGTTGTTATTATATTGCTGAAATTTTATTGAACATGAAACGCCATCGTGATTGTGTGGCTATGTATGAAAAGTCACTCAGTTATTGTAAAGAAAGTTTGATTCATAACTTGAATTCCTATAATTTGCCACAACAATTAAGGAAATTACAAAAAACTATTGAAGGATCCAAATGCCTTGCACATGCTCATAGCGTTCTTGATGAAGAAGGACCTGATGATATGGGTACTTCTAAGAAGAGTGCTAAATCTAAAGTACCTCTTTTTGATAGGCAAGTCTAGTTTATTTAATAGAGAATATTTTATCTATAATGCTTAGTATTAAGTTCTAATTATATATTTCTTTGTAGGTTGTCTGAGTACAAAGAAGATTCTCAGTTACTGACAACTAAGCCAAATGTATATGCACTTCCTCCAAAAATGGAAGCAATGCCTTGTAAACCCCTATTCTTTGATTTAGCTCTTAATTTAATAGAGTTTCCAGATTTGAATGATAAAATAGGTGAATCTCGAAAGCAAGGAGATAACCAAGGCATAACTGGGTTTGTTAAAGGATTGTGGAGCTGGAGTGGGAATAAAAAATAATGTTCTTTACATTATGGAATATTATAAATATATAATAAGTATTCAATTTGTTTTTGGGAAATTTGACAAACATTACAAATAAAGATTTGTAAAAATTTTATTTGTTGAAATATGAATTTTAATATTGATAAAATAATCTTAAATGTTTTGCTACAAATATATTAAATATATTCGACATAATATATAGTTTTTTTTAGTGTTCTTATATAAATACATTTTAATATCCATATTAAAAACAAACCGTATTTTAGCACTTAAAAGAAAAATGTTTACTGAATACTTTATACCTTTCTCTACAATATTGGTTTCAGACAAGTTTTGGAATTTGTTATATATAAATGTTGCATCTGCTATATTTATATGATTTGATGTCACGGGAACCTAAGACAGGATGACAAAGAAGACACAGAAACCAAAGGGGCTCATACAAATTGTGACAATTTTGGGTCCCTTTTCAACGGACAATCAATAAAGAGGGTGAGTGTTTAGTTAGATATATGCATAAGATGAAATTTTATTCTCAATTATATTATATATAACATAGTAGTTTCTAATGTTTTCGTACCGAGCAATATTTGAAAATTATACTTTAGAAACAGCTGAGGAGGCTCATATTAATGAGTTAATTAAGTATTTAGGAAATTAAGAACATTTCCTAAGGAGAAATTTTGCCATAAAATTCAATTTACTTATATTTATATTTTAATTCGAACAGATTTTGGAAATTTAAAAACTTATTGTAAATTGTGCTGACTAGCTTCTGGTCGAGATCGAACGGTCCGTTTCGTCTTGATTATCAAATTTATTGAATTAAAAATAAATTAATTAACCGTTAGAACATGTTTCAATGTTTTGAATAGCACTTTCATAACGTTGGAGTTCATTTGTAATGATAAAACTGCGTTATTGTACGCACAACATTACTCAAAACAATTTTTATGAAGGAATTGTTGTGAAAATACTATACAATACTCAAATTCATTCTTAAATGTTAGTGAATAGATGAATAGAAAACCAATCAAGTATGGTAATCTTGTGCGATTAAAAGAGAAAATTTGAATAATTTCACAACGAGAAGATGTTGAAATAATCAAGACAAGCATTTAATATGAAAAATTAGACGCAGTGAAAAAATTAAAGAACCAATGAATAACGTAACAATATTTATATTTTTATTAAAATTTATGAATTTTATAATATACAATTTCTATTATAAACAATGTTCTTATAAAATATTAAATTATTTTTTAGTTTTCAATGAGTCCATATAAATTCCCAAACCTTTTTGGACTTTTGGATCTTTTACGAATTCGAATAATTGCATATCTTGATCTCTATTTTCTTCCAAAGCTTTTAAATCCTCAGCTCTTAAAGCAAGCTTTGTTATTGTTCTAGCTTGCGGAGAAACTCGTTTAAACCGTAATAAAAATTGTTCTGATTTAGCTAAAGCATCAGCTTTGTCATTAGCAATTTCATCAATCAGGCCAATCTGGAAAAATCATTACATATATAGCCTTATAGAAATTTATATTTGAAATAAGAGCTTACTAATAGCTCCTAAGACTTTTGTCTTAGAATTTACTTTTAACGCCTCTTCAGTTGTGAACATTTGGCCAGTGGTTAAAGCTAGTTCAGAATCCCGTTTTGATAAAACATTTTTCATAGAAGTCTGGAACCATTTCGGCGCAACAATACCAACTTGTGTATCATTCAATCCTATTGTAAATGCATTGACCATTACGCGATATTCACAACTTAAAGCCAATAAGCATCCACCAGCTGGAGAATGGCCCTGAAAATTAAATATTTTTATATTGGGAAACAATATTTTTAAAACTGCAATGTTTGTATAGCAATTAAAATGAAAAGTTCAAAAAATATTAAAATTAATACAATATAATGATTACGTTAATAGCTGCTACAGTTGGATAAGATGATCCATATAATTTCAGCCACACATCTTGCATTTTTCTCCAAAATGCTTTAAGTCTATCATCATCCGGTTTGTACAATTCTGTAATATCTAATCCTGCACTAAACACTTTATTGGAGGCCTGAAAAGATATAAAACAATAAATATTTGATAAAAATAAATAATATAAAATATGTAGAAATGATTTTTCTTTGCAAAAACTTACTGATGTTAAAATCATGCCCTTACATTTATTTTCTTGTACTTGATCTAATGAATCTGATAATTGTGTTAAAAGTTCTAAATTCAAACTATTTACTGGCAATCTTTGCATAGTAATAGTAGCAAACCCTGTTTGTTCATTAACTGCCAAATCCACAAATTTTTCTGCATTACTTGAAAATTTCCTTCTGGCTAACCCATTGCTAAGGGGGCGAATACTGTCCATTAAACGAAACATTATCTGTAGCACACAAATAAAATTATTATTTTAAGATAATTATGTTTAATTTGTAAATTGTCTACGACTTCTTGACTTACACGTGCAATTTGATTATATCCGACTTAGAAAAAAAAAGAAATCTTATAATTTTTGTTATCACTATCATCACCCTATACAATATTTAATAATGATCAAAACATAAAAAATGCAATTCATTTATTTATATTTATATAAGAGGGGGTATATAAATGATATATGATCATAATTATGTAAATGCAATTCATCTGTTTATATTTAAAAGCAGAATATTTGGAGACCAACTAAGTGGAACGTTTTGTTGGCCTTCCAAATATCCCATACACTTGGACCTAGAAGGCGGAAATAGAAGTTTTATGATCGTTAAAATGATAAGAATTAATTGAAAAACATGTAGGGCATGGATTGAAATTATTCGAACTTCATTGACTATAGGTGAATAATAATTTTATAAATAATACACTTTATTTACTTCGCCTATGATAAGTTACAGCAATCGTAAAAAAATAAAAAATATATATCTTTACATTTCAAACCCTGTTGTCCTTAAAAAAAAATGCATGTGATATGTTTCTTGAATCATTCTAATCGGATTTTTTGCTGCATATCTCTGAAACGGCTGGACTTGCCTTTGCCAAAAACGAATCAGCAAGTCTTTCAATCAATATAAATCCAACGATTTTTGAATCATTCAAATCGTTTTATATGTGCCCGATTCACGTCAATTCTTTGTCAACGATTTTGGGCACAGATCAACTGGTTATGATTCAAAAAACGTTCGAATTATATTGAAAAGAAGATGTGCTGATTAGTTTTTGGCAAAGGCAGGTCCAACCCTTTCACAGATATTACAGATTCGAATAACATTTTGCTTTTTGGAAGTTGGAATTGATTTGAGATGAAGAAAAAATTTAAATGAATGATCATATTTGATTCAAGCGATCGTTGTACAAATCATTATTATTGACTATTATATAGGTATAGACAGGTAGACACATGGTAGACATGCAGAAGGGTAGACAGAGGTAGACCAGTACATTACATTTATGCTTTTATGTATGGACTAATATACGTTATGAAGAGTTTGATAATTTTAATTCATATAATTAATTTCATATTAATTATATATGTACATAATTGATAAGAATCTGAAAGCCTTTAAAAATAATATTTTTTTTTCAAACAATTATCATTGTAGTTGTTGATGGCTGTTTTTTAATTTTACTATTTAATTATGCTTTTTGGAAAAAATAATGGTTTTTTATAAAAAGCCATTATACAAGACTTTCTTCATTGTGCGTGCTTTTTTTTTTTTTAAAAAAAAAAAAATCAGTTATTTCGAAGAGTCAGCCATTTTGCTGCTTAAAAAATTTGATTTATGGCGGGAAATTTGATGTGTTATAAATAATAATGTTTGTAATAAAATTTAATGTTCTTAAAACGTAATAAAATATTGATGAAATAATTTTAAATGTTTTGCTGCAAATATGAAAAACGTTTCAACATATTTATTGCTATTTCATAAGTAAATTTTAATATCCTAGTTCGGAAAATGTACAGTTTTGAACAAATATTATAATTTTATTCATTTATAAAAGTTTTATATAATAAACGGTATAACCGCCAAGACAATATTAAAATAATATATTCGTATTTATGGATATAACCGCCCATTTTCGTTTCGGACGATTGCATGATTTATAAACATTGCAGTCGCCATTTTTTATGAGATGTCAAAAGAAGAAGAATTTACTAAAGTTTCATATAAAAAGAAGACACGAAGACCGAAGGGGGTTATCAAAAGTGTGACAAATTTAGATTCCATTTCAATTGATAATCATATAAATAAGGATAAATCTCTAGAGTGAGTATTATTCAAATATTTACCAATTATTTTAGGTTAGGTTGTTGCATAAGCTTTCATTATTTTACAGACGAATACTAACGTCAAAAAATGAAATTTTACATTCAAAATTTTATATTAATGTAAAAACATTATTTAACGAGGTAATTAGTGAATTAGGAATTCAAGAAATTAAAAACATTATTTGTTTTGGACTTGGACACATTGGAGACTGTTTATCGTCACAATATCAGTTAGCATTTTTATTAAATATTTGCGACGAATTCAATATTACGAATACACTTGTTTATGATCCAATATTTAGTGAAATAGAATGCCAAATTTTACAACATTTTGGATTACAAGTTGAAGCTACAAATAAAGAAGGAAAATATAAAATTTGTCCTAACGAAGCAACATTGTTATATGCTCCACATTGCCCAAAACAATTAATGAACAATTTTTTGTGGAAGAATTGGGAAGAAAGTTTAAGCAATTGTATTATTATTGGCAATAGTTTTTCACAAATAGTTGAAACAAACAGTAAACGAATTCTTGAAGAGCAAGCTGCATATTTACTAAAAATTTGTCCATATACAAAAGAATTTGACATTGAAAACAATTTCAAATTTACTGATATTTTTAACGATACATCAATACACTCATTTCCAAAAGAGAACATTAAAGACCTGCTTTCAAAGTTTTGGTTAGACAAAATAGAGCCAGCTTATATCTCAGATGATATAGAATTTATCACCAATGCTGTTTGCTCTGAATTACAAATAACTTAATAACTACCACTAAATTTTATTTTGCTAAATAGGTCTCATTAACACCATGGCTGTAAACGCTGCAAAATTATCCACTTTGCGTGGTATACTACATGAATTGCGACAAGCAAGCTCTGATAAGAAACTAACAAATTCTCCTATGGCAAGATATGTTTTGGATCAATACAAAAAATTTAAAACAACTGAACAACAATGGTGTACAGCTGAAGGTGAAATGAATTATTTAGCAAATACATATTTGTGCTATTTGAAGAGCCAAAGAAAATATGAGGAAATAATATCCTTTTACAAAGCTAAAGGAGAACGAACTGTGGAAGAAACAGCTCAAATGGTCGGCTTTAAATTACCACATGACCCAAAGTGAATGAAGAGTTCAAAAATGCAGTAGTTTATTAATAAGAAGTATACATGTATAACAAAAAAATATATAAATCGTAAGTGAAACTGTTATAGTTTATCTTTTTCTTTCAAATTTCCATTTATATACAGGTGGTGCTACTTTTGTTGCTGGGGCTATTCTTTCTGGTTCTTGTAGCCCTTTTGATAATAATGCTCTTTTTATTTCCATCTTCTGTTGTATAACTGATAATTCCTTTTCTCTATCAATACGTTTTCTTAACTCCTTGTATGAAGAATGTCTAAGATTGTCTAGTTTATTCATTGTCTGAAATGAAAAATTATTAATTGGACATTTGTATCACACAGCACTTTTAAATTTGCATAAATGGTTTACAAACAAAAGGAATATTTTAAGTACCTCTTCATTAACATTGGGTAACTGCATTTCTTCTAATTTTGAAATTCTTGGGCGATTTGTTCTACGACCTAATAATCTTTCATCTGTGTCCAATCTTTTAGCTAGATCAAAATTTTTCATTTCTCGTTTCGAATCAAGGAAGAATTTATGGGTATTTTGAGTTGTATTTGCAGCATCAATGAGGTGTAATTCACTTTGTAATCTATAAAAACAATACATTACATATAATACATTAAATATAAATGTGAATAATTCTAAAATTGACATACCTCCTAATTTTGTTTGCCTCAATGGTGCGTTTCATATTAATGTACTTCAAATCTTGTGTTTGCATTAATTTAATTTGGTCTGGAGTGTGATCATCCTCCTTTTCTTTTTCATGGTGCTCCTATTGAAATTCAAATAGTTCATATGTACAATTAGTGATCACCTATATAAAATTAATTACAATGGATGCACAATACTCACCCCATCTTCGATTTTGGAGTTGATCATATGAAAATAAAATTCATCAGGATTTTTATTAAGAGCTCTTTTTCTCAGAACCTTCAAAGCATCTTGTTTCTCATGATAATCTTTTGCCCAAGCAACGTAGTCTTTCTTTTTTTCTAAAAGACCTAAGTTTTTTCTGGATTCTGGTTGATGACGTTCTCTGTGTATTCTCTGGTGAGATTTAGCAGCTTTTTTCCAAGACGACATTGTGACTTATACGAATATTATAATTAACTTAATTTACAGTTAAGTTTATAATATTCTACAACAATTAATTAATAATTGATAAACAGTAACGTGACATTAACAAAACTAACCTAAACATCTAAAATATTTTGATCCATGTGAACACGAATTGACAGTTCGCAACAGGTCTGCGCATGCGTCATCTCATGACAGTTGGCAACAGTTTAAAACTGTGATACAAGGGACGCACTTCAAACCCAACATTTATTTGGATGCCGGATGTTTTCAGTAAAGTTCGAAATTGTTTTGTGATTTATTTACGCAGTTTGACGTTATTAAAATAATATGCTTTAAAATTTAATATATGAAAAAGTTTATATTTTTTAAATTTACTTAAATAGTTTTTAAATTTACTGTTTAAACTTATACAAAATGAATGACTAAGATTTTCATATGAATTTTCAAATGACAATGATGATTAAGATTTATTAAATTTTGTGAAAATAGTAAAAAAATAAAAAAAATCATTGATAATGTCTTCTACCCATCTGTTAGAAAAAATCGGGTTATTTTTATTTTTTTTCAATATGACTAACTAGTATTGCACAATTTTACAATCCGCCCTTTAACTTTCAATGGAATTTTCTAAGGCAGGTTACAGCATTTTCTGCTGTCTGCTATCCATTCGTTAGAAATAATCGGGTAATTTTAACGTTTTTATTTTTTTTGTAATACGACTAACTGCTATTGCACCATTTTAAAAATCTCTTTAACTTCCATTGGAATTTTCAAATGCACGTTACAGCATTTTTCATAAAGAGGTTTTTTTCAAAATCAACAAATTTTGAAAATGTTATATTCAATTACAGCAAATTCACTGTTTCATTATTTTTGACTGGTCCTAGTAGTGTTATAGTTGATTCTTGGTTAGACCTATAAGCCTTTTGGGAGTTTGAGTTTTGATACCCGTTTTGAGCCTGAAGTCAAGCAGTAGTGACATCAGTTTTTACTTGAAAATATAGATAGTAACAAATTGTTTCCAAGTAAAAATATCTCTTATACGGCATCGTTGCATCAATGAAAAGTCATCAGTATTGGAAATTTTAATCTTAAATTTTATCAGTTGATAGGACAACCGTTGGTTCGCCTATATACTGCCAAATACTATCTATCTACCTACTATCTAAAAGTACTATCTATATACTGCCAAATTATTAAGAAGTTATCATAATAGCCCAAAGAACTTCTTAAGTTCTGATTATTATCAGTAAACTAGTAACTCATTTAAAAATATTTAAAATAATTGTTATCAATCATTCTTTATCCACGAATGTTTTATTACAGTACGGAAGTTCAAGAAGTTGGCCTTAAGGCTAACTAATTTTTGTCCTCATCATAATTATATACCAGTTTGAAACTGAATTTCAAAGTTAACATCATATATGCATATATTTCAAGTATATAAGTAAACTATAGAATTTCTGAAATTTTGAAGTTTTTAGAAAAGCTTCATTTTTTGAGGTTTGATTTTTTTTCAAAGCTGAAAAATTTCCAAAATTTGAATAAGTCAAAAATTTAATTTTTTTTTAAATTTTTTTTCAACATTTTAAAATCCTAATCCTGTGTTACTCAAACAGTATTTTTGCAGTTTTTGCTCCGTATCTATGAAACGGCTGGACCTGCCTTTGCCAAAAACCAATCAGCACGTCTTTACCTCAATACCTATTTAATAGGTTTTGAATCATTCTAATCGGATGCTCCGTTCTCTCAAAAACTGCTACCTCTTGCTTTTGCTTAAAAACCAATCAGCACGTCTCTCCGTCAATACCTATTTACTAGTTTTTGAATCATTCTAATCGGATGCTCCAAAACTGCTATTTTTTGCACTTTTTGCTCCGTATCTCCGAAACGGCTGGTCCTGCTTTTGCTAAAAACCAATTAGCACGTCTCTCCGTTAATACAAATTTCATGGAATTTGAATCATTCTAATCGGATGGTCAGTTGTCTCCAAAACTGCTATTTCTGCACTTTTGCTTCGTATCTCCACAACGGCTGGACCTGTCTTTACTGAAAACTCATAAGCACGTCTCTTTGTTAATACGAATTTAATAGTTTTAGAATCATTCTAATCGAATGACCCATTGTCTCAAAAACTGCTATTTTTGCACTTTTTGCTTTGTCTCTCCAAAACGGCTAGACCTGCCTTTGCTAAAAACTAATCAGCACGTCTCTCCGTCAAGAACTTAATAGTTTTTGAAACATTTTAGTCGGATGCTCCATTCTCTCAAAAACTGCTATTTTTCTCACTTTTTTCTCCGTATCTCCAAATCGGCGGAACTCGTCTGTCAAAAAAAAAATCGAGTGGTTTTTGAATAATTCTATTTGGATGCTACGTACTCCTAAAAATTACTGTTTTTTGCACTTTTTGCTCCATATTTTTGAAATGGCTGGACAGATAGCTAGACCAATCTGCCAAAAATTAATCAGCAGTATTGACAAATCGATTTTTTTTCAATAATTAAAATCCCTTTATCCGTGCTACCGAAATCGTGAACAAACATTTGTATCCAAACATACACACACACATCCATATTTTATCTAAAGTATGCCAAAATGTTAAGAAACCTTCAAAACGTAAAAATATGCAAAAAACTTCATTTTAGTTCTTTTGTGATTATTATAACCTACCCTATAGGCAGTTAAAAAATATAATTTTTGGATAGAACAACCTTCCATAAGGTCACCTGCAGTTCGATATAGGTAATAATTGATACCAACGGGATATTACTTTATATCAAGATATCAAGTAAACATATCTCCATCATATATCATATGAAATTTCTCTTTTAATTGACGTATAAATCAACTTACAATGTAAGCCAAACAGATGAAAATTATTGGGTTTTCCCAATATTGTTGAGTGTATGGAGGGCACCCCTGCGTTCTCTGTACATGCGCATTGGGCGCATTGGGCCCTGTGTTGCGGGCGAAACGCATGCTTTTAGATGTAGAAGACTATATTGTCATAGTTGTCAAAATCTGTAAAACTTTACATTGCTTTCTATTCTAATTAGGCTAATTAAACAAGTAAACAAACATATATTTAACTCGTATTTAGAAAAATAGTGTCAAAAATGTCGTTGTGATCAAATTTTATCAATAGACTGTTATTGTGCCAAAGCCTAGTGGTTTATTACTGTTTTTATAAAATTGATTTATATAAATAATAAGTAAATATTATAAACTAAACGTAAATTTTGTAAATTTTTAAATTCGTAGGCTTTTGTGTTAATTGAATCAGTGCAGTAGTGTTTCATAAAATGCAGTACAATTTGTTTACTCATGAATTTGTTATGGATTTGGATAGCTTATCATTATTAAAACATTAAAGGTAATTACTAAAATTCAGTATGACTCAAAATGATTATTTTGAAAAAAAAAATAGAATATTTATTACTATAATTATTTTTATAAGATACTATGAAATTCAATTTATATACATGTAAATTTAACTTGGAGAATTTCTCACCTGTTACAACTGTATTAATAATGCATGACCACAATAGTGCGTTATAGGTATACGTATATGTACCTATATATTCTTATATATATATATATATATATATACGAGTATATATATATATATATATAAGATGAAATAAGGGCATATTTACAATGAAAAAAAATTAATGAAAAATAATGTCTTTATTAGAATAGCATACGTTTCGAATCCTAGATTGACTCATGTTTAGTGTATACAAATAAATTCAAATCAAATCTTAATAGAACTTATTTTTTAAAACAATTCGATGATGAATTTTCACACATATTTTACCAGTATATGATTTTGCTAATACTGTTTATATCAAATATATTTTTTTAAATTTAATATTAATATATAAAAAAATACAAAAATGAGAAGCACTAATTCATATATACACATATAGTTATAAAACAACATTTTTTAATATTAAAACAAAGTATATAAAACTAGTTGGTTTGGTATTTAGCCTTGAGGCAAGTTACATGAACTTCCCGAAATGTGTAAATAATCGACTTAATCAAAAAAAAATGTGTAAATAATATACTTCATTAATCCTACTTAAAAAAAAAACGATAATAATTTTAGCAAACTTTGACGAATTTTTAAAATTATACTTGTTGTAAGGCCGTAATATTACAGTAAGTTCTATAAGACCATGATGTATATCGCCAAAAAAAGTTCCATGAAAAACGGCTTAATTTTTTTTTAACAGTTAATTACAAGAAAACGGCTCGGTAGATTTTCACCTAAAATTAATCAGCATCATTCCCAACTAATATCTTTCGAACAGTTTTTGATTTTTCAAAATCGGTTCGGTAGGATGAGCTTAAATGTCGACGAAAATTTAACACTTTTTTTCAACAGTTAATTACAAGAAAACGGCTCGGTAGATTTTCACCTAAAATTAATCAGCATCATTCCCAACTAATATCTTTCGAACAGTTTTTGATTTTTTAAAATCGGTTCGGTAGGATGAGCTTAAATGTCGACGAAAATTTAACACTTTTTTTCAACAGTTAATTACAAGAAAACGGCTCGGTAGATTTTCACCTAAAATTAATCAGCATCATTCCCAACTAATATCTTTCGAACAGTTTTTGATTTTTTAAAATCGGTTCGGTAGGATGAGCTTAAAAATGTACGAAAAGTTTTTTCGAATTACAAAGAAACGGCTTGTCAGATCGTTGCACAAAACTGACAAACGATAGTCCTCACCGAAATATATCAAATGGCTTTTAAATTTCTAAAATCGGTTCAGGCGTTTTTGAGAAAACGTCGATCAAAAGTCTAATTTTGACAAATGCCAAAAAGACCATACTGATTTTTGCAAACTTTGACGAATTTTTAAAGCTTAACCAGTTGTCGTAGGGCCGTAATATTTTAGTATGATCTAGAAGACTATGGTATCTATCGTCAAAAAAATAATCATAAAAATCGTCGAAATTTTTTTTTTAAAAACTTTATTACAAGAAAACGGCCCGGCCGATCTCTACCAAAAACTAATCAGCACGATTCCCAACCAATATCTTTCGAACGGTTTTTGAATTTTCAAAATCGATTCAGAATTGCGGGCTAAAACGTAGACGAAAAATTTTTCACTTTTCTGCCATTTATAAAGAAACGGCTTGGCCGATCGTCGCACAAAACTGACAAACAATAGTCCTCGTCGAGATACATCGAATGGCTTTTAAATTTTTGAAATCGGTCCAGCCGTTTTGGAGAAAACGTCGATTTACGGCAAAAAATCTGTTGGTGCACACGCACACACACATACACACACACACACACACACACACACATACTTTTTCCAAATTTGGTCTCATTCGATTCAGAATGGCTTGAAACGTCGAGAAAACATAAAATTAGCGAATCGGATTTTTTGATGAAAACATAAACTTCTCCTTCGGGAAGCTAATAAATCCTTAATAAATCAAAACACTGTTGCTCCATGGTTTTAATTAAGAATAACAAATTTTGTCAGCTATTCCACTAATTGAAGATTAGTATGTAAGCCTAAACGTATGAATTCGATTTAAAATAAAAAGAAAATCATACAATTTTTAAACCTATTTTTTTATTAGCCCGATATTTCAACTTAACTAATGTATATATTATTAAGTTTTTTTCGCAGTCAAATATTCGAAATAACATTCAGCACGTTAAAAATTATAAAAATTTAGATCTAAATATTTAAATTTTTTATACATACTTTATATTTTTATTTTCGTTTGTTTTTTTTTACCCATCCTTGAGTTACATTTCTTCCAACCAGCTGGTATTAACAGAATTCGATCCTGTATTTGCATTTGTGAACCCCGTTGTTTTTATAAAGCGTGACTTTGCATTTCGTTTTTCATTTACAATTTGCTAATCATGTAACTAAATATATAATTTCATTATTAAACTTTTAGTTTATCATTTTTTTGGTTTGTTTTTTCATTGAACAATGATATTAAATTTATGTGGGTGTTTTTCCTGGTTTGAATATGTTTATGTGCTGATTGATGACACACATACAGTGACGAAACGGACATAAAAAATAGTTTATTATTTATTGTTTTTTATTTTGAATTGTTGGGTGCAAATAACTATTTCAATAATATGTGTATATGCAATATTAGGGTGGCCTTGATATGGATGTTTTCGAATAAAAAAATTCGAATGGGCAAAATTCCATTTGTTTTTTAAAAAATTATAACTTAGCGACAAGTGGATCAAAATTTTGAAAACAACATTATACACAATGATATGCACACTGCAATGATATCATTAACAATATTTTGATCATAAATAAACAATTTACAAGAAAAAAATGATATATTTTATAAAACAATTATTTACGTAGAAAGAATAACCAAGAAACTTTGGTTGGAGTACGGACTATCTTAAAGTTAATATTAAGAGCTTGAACTTTCAGATAGGTTTTTTTTTATCAATTTGGAAGCATTTGAGCCCCTGAGAGCAAAGAAATTCAAAATATCCATATTAAAGACTACCTTATATATAATAATAATATATGATATATATATATATATATATATATATATATATATATATATATATATATATATATATGTATATATATTAGGGTGGTCCTCAATATGGACATTTTTGAATTTCCTTGCTCTCAAGGGCTCAAATGGTTCCAAATTTATAAAAAACAATTCTCTGAAAGTTTTAGCTCTTAATATTAACTTTTAGATAGTGCGCAATTCAATCAAACTTCGTATGGAAATAGCATGTAAAAAATTTTGAAAATTAAAAAAAATTTTTTTTGTTATAACTTAGCAACAAATTTTGAATAAAAATATATCTAAAAACATTTTTAAAATTTTTGAAAAATTTTTCATGCTATTTCCAAACAAAATTTTGATTGAATTGCGCACTATCTAAAAGACAATATTAAGAGCCAAAACTTTCAACTATTCATATTAATATATATAAAATCAAAAATAAGGATTAATTTGTTTCAACGTTAAACAAAAAAATCTAAAGTTTATATGAATTTTGCATTGAAAACTATTCAACTATTTTCTAAAAATGTAATCCATTGTGAAATTCCCCCCACTTATATTTTGTAAATAGTCTAAATCTCTAAATACATTCGCCAACTCCAGCATTGTCCAATCATAAAATTGATCGACTATCGAGTGTATTATATAATCCATATTTGTACAAAATGCATTAAAATACATTGTTGTCATGACGTTTCAGTGTTAAACATGATAATCCACAATAACACACTCAAAATTCATTCTTTCAGTATGCTCGGCGGTCCAGAGATCGCTTCTTCGGCACTAATCAACTTCATGTATGGTCGCATTGACGCGAGTGTAAAATTATCGTGAAATGGAAGCCGTTCTTCGTCGAGCGGGTCTGCTGCCGGCCCAAACAAAACGCGTGGTGGGAACCGCGTCAAGCGGCGATAATGCCGCCGCGGCTGGTCCGTCGCAGTCGAGTGGCCGCACTCGAAGGCCGCAACCGATTTACGTGAACGTTACGCATATTTCTTCCCGCGCGAGTGTCGCGTCACATTCTTCGGGCGGCGGCGGCAGAAGAAGAAGACGCCGCCGCAACCGCCAATCTAACGCGGGCGGTTCGACGAACGGCGGCAGAGGTGCACGTGTTGAACACGCCACGGGGTTTAGACAAAGAGCCTTTGCCAGACTGAGGATGCTTAATTTAAGGTTATTTGACGCTGATTCCAGTGCACAGAAAACCGGCAATAGGTAAATAAATTATATAGATGGATATATATATATATATATATATATATACATATATATATATATATATATATATATATATATATATATATATTTTGAAGTGAGTTTGGTGTTGATATATATTTTGATGAATTATTTAGAATTGGGCAGTAACACTAAGTAAAAAAAAAAACTAAAGGAGTTTTGAAATACTTTATTTATCCATACGTTTCAGATCGAGACCGTCATTCAGTGAAAAGAAATTAATTATACAAAAATAGTGTAGTGTATTTTTGTATAATTAATTTCTTTCCACTGAATGACGGTCTCGATGAAGACTGAAACGTATGGATAAATAAAGTATTTCAAAACTACTTTAGTTTTTTATATGTTTGATCTTTATATATTATCAATTATGTACAGATGTTTAAGAAAACTAGTGGTGCATGGCATTGTGTCTTAAGGCAAATTGCTGGAATATTCCGTACCGTAATAATCAATTAAAATTTATCAATGATTAATTATTAATGATTAATAATAATTGGTTTATATATTTTGAAATATGTAGATTATAATAGGTACTGTAAATTTCATAATTCGTATTGTATATACTTACTTCATGTATGGTCACATTGTCGCGCTATAAGTGTTTATATTTGGGCGACGATTTGTATATATGTTATATTCGCGAGACAAGAAACCATAAAAAAATAAACAAACCATATCCTTCTATTTGCAGTGCTACCGGTCTCATATTTTTAACATTAAATGACCATTTTGAAATAGAATTGAAAAGTTCGGTGATTTTTTTTAATTTTGAAAGATTGGAAATTTTTGAAAATTTGACTTACAGTAGAACCTTGTTTATCCGGACTTCGGTTATACGGATTCGCGATTATCCTGACCACCAACCGCGACCAATTTCTACGTATGTACATACCTACAATTCGAATTTTTGCAAGATTGATGCTGCATAATCTAAGAAAATATATATGTACATGTATATCTTGATTTATGTCTATTGTTGCACTTGTTTTAACTTGGTTAAATTTCATTTTGTGTATTAGTTTGCATTTCTCTATTTTAATTATGTTATTTAGTGAATGATTATTTGTTTCTCTCTGTAAGTATTTGGTGGGTGTTAGATTTGGAAAATTATATGCTATTTTTGTGGTTTAATTCATTATTCTCTGTATGTCATACATAAGGAAGTTTCAATTTCTCAATAAACATTAAATTTTGTTGATATCTATGTATGTATTTGTTAGTTTTAATAAATATACAACATTATTTTTCATACTTTCGATTATCTGGATTTTTGATTATTCGAATGGCTATCGACAACAATTAGTCCAGATAAACGTGGTTCTACTGTATTTGGTAAATTTAAAACAAAACTAAAAAATTGATTCTTTTTTCGAAGTTATGATACCATTGTGTTTTAGTAGCAATGTGTTTTTTGAATCATTCTAATCGGTTTCTCGAAAAATAGTATCCAAACATACATATACACACACACACTCATACATGCTCACACATTCATTTTTTCCAAGGTATGTCAAAATGTACTTACCTCACGTTATTAAATACTTACCTTACGAAAAGTTGATAATATGCCTAATTATTTTATTTATTGGTTATCGCATCAATTGAGTCATTGCATAAGTACAATTGAGTACACCTTCAATAGATTGAATTTAAATCATATTTTATCTGGACTAATAATAAAATAATTTAATTGTAGGGGTATTTTTATGATGTATAAAATATGATTATTATTAGTCCAGATAGAAGTATAAATATTATAAAAAAGTAGATGATTTTTCTATAAAGTAATAAGAGAAACAATAAATAACTACTGATTTTAATTATTATTTTTAATTAATATAATTTTATTTAAAATAAACATAACATAATCTAACATTAACCTAATCCAAGTTAACCTAACACCCTACGTAATAATTAGATGTTAACAAAGTTATTAATTAATAACTATAAAATAAAAATATTCATTATTACGTATAATTATCATTGAAATTAAGTTAACCTTTCTCTAAAATACAATAATCAGACTTACTACAATTAATAATTCATAGAATTTTTTTCAGAAGATTATATTTGACGATGAATTAAATAATTTTGCATTTTTTCAACATGTATATTATTAATTATCATTTTTTAATTGAATTTGATTATTATTTTATTATATTTTATGTGGATATTAAATGAATTTGATTGTAGGGTAATTTTTGAAGAAAACATCAAAAAGTAAATTGGTTGTTAAATGTTATTGAATCATTTACTAACTAACTGAAATACATTATGTTGATATTTCTTTAAAATAATCAGACAATGCGAAATTTAACACTAGTCGAAATAATAATTACACAATAGAATGATTGTTTACAATTTATAAATTTGACAACGCTCATAAAATATTTTATATTCTTTTTTAAAATTATTAATCGCAATCAAAAATTATAAATTTTCTATAAGCTATTCAGAAAAAGTATACTTAATTCAGTTACTTAACAAAAAAAAAATCTTAATGATATATTTTTAAATTATTATTGTCACAATTCCCATTTTACCATATGAGTTAAATATTTTGATCTCTTATTTAATAATAATTCTTCAGTATTTATAAAATAGCGGAAATCTGAATCAGAATTGTTTAATTAATTGGATGTGAATTTCCTCCGAACGATTTGTCCATTCACGTTCTCGAGGATTGTTTCATGATTGTTTATAGTAAAAAATATTCACGAATTTAAAAATATATAGATATATAAGAGATGGTATGTGTATTTTATATTTATAAGATCGCTATACAATAGAAAATCTAAACAAACAATTTGGGATTGATAAACAATGAGTAATATTAAGAAATTTTGAGTTTTTTCTGGTAAATATTTATGTGTAGGGGACATTTAATTAACATGAAAGTGATCAAACTAAATGAAGCCTATGATCTTAGTAATAAACGTTAATATTAATTATATTTGTTAAAATTATTAATTATTAATAATTAAATAAATCCACTTTCTGCTGACACCATACTTTTATAGTATTAATTTACGAGTAAACGTTGGACTTCCGATAACAAGAAAATAACAAAAATTTAAACCTGTCTTAATGCATTTCTCTCGAGTGCGTTCTACATATCAAACGATTTGTATAAGCTGGTTCTATGCGAATTTATATTAGAGGAAAGTCTATTAAAGATAAAGAAAAATTCTTTGACATTTAGGATTATTTTTTACATATTTGAAATATAAAAATGTAATAGTAAGTATTCAATAGAAAAAAAAATCGTTTAATAATTAATGTGAAAAATAATTATTCGAATCAACTTTTTTTAATTCGAATCAAGAAATTTTGGAGTCACTAATAAAAATGTAGTAAAAAACGTCCTAGAGTAAAATTCATATCACTAATAAAAATGTAATAAAAAACGTGGGTAAAAAAACGTTCTTACTAATGTGAAAAATAATTTTACAAAATAATACGTGTGCATAATATTTGAAGAAAAAAAGTCTATTATCTATTAGTAAAAATACTTACAATTAGACTTTTAGGATTATTTCATATTTAATATTCAAATTTAAAAAATGTAATAGAAAATATGCAATAGATTAAAATAGTTTAATAATTAATATAAAAAAAATAACAACAAGAAAAATAATATATATAGATAATGTTTCAGGCGGTGAAACATTAATAATGAAAAAAAATCAGATTCAAGCAATTTTTAAATAACAAAATTTGAATCAGAAATTTAATCTAGCATATGAAAATATACAAGCAAAAATTATTCAATAATAAACATTAAAGAAATATTCATTACATAATATATAAAATGATAAAATATATTAATGAACGTTGAAGTGAAATTAGAAATGTGCAAGTAAGCACTGAAACCGTTCAATATAAAATGTAAACAAAAATAACAAAACATTGAATATATACATGATAGAAAAATAAAAAATAATATCTTATGCAAATAATTTAAATACAAAACAATAAAAACTCATTTATTGAATTGAATAACAATTTTAACTACAATTATCAATTCACACAATTATATTTAATTAATTATGTTTGGCGATGAATATAATTATTTTGGATTAGTTAATCACATATTGTCATTTTTTATAGTTTTAAAAAATTTTAGATCAAAATTCTAGAGATAAAAACATCAATAATGCATTATTTATTCATATTTAAACCTCAAAAATAAAATTTGAAGTATATATCGTATTATCTAGATTATGAATGTTTACTTACGATTTATAATAAAATCGAATTGAATAATGAATTTTAATAATTTATAATTATTACAATATTAATGCTTTCGCATTTTCAATGCATTTGCTTCATGCGTTTCTATAATTTTATTTTCTGTAATTTCTTAAAATTTCAGATCAGGATACTAGAAATAAAAAAATAATGTATTAAAAAATAAAAACTATAAAAATGTAATGTAATTAAAAGCATAATTTAAAATATGCACTGCACTTCAATAATTTATAATAATTACAATATGTAATTATTTTGAATTTTCTTAATATAATTATATATTGTCATTTTTATAATTCTTAGGAATTTCAGATAAGTTCTGGAAATGACGAAACTAATAACAAATTAAGAAATAAAAACGACGGAATGAAATTTTAACATTATTTAATTATTTACTAATTGAACGGAACGTTCTAGCAATTTGCGTTAAGACGGCAGCATCACAGAGTTTTTAAGTGTATTTTAGGATTTTTTCTATTCTATGATTTTTATTTTCATTTTTCACTTCATACAAACAGCAATCAGAATTTAAGACTCTTATGAACTATTATGTATCTAAACTACATAGTTATTTAGAATGCAATCCATCGGTTGACTTATCTGAGTTTGATGTAGAATTAGGGACCGTTTCTGCCGCATAACAAACCAATGTTATGGCAAGGCTATGTTGTGAAGAACTTTCCATACAAATTCGTTCTAAATATTGACAAAAGCCATGTGGTTGCTGTGCAGTGAAGCGTTTTTCTCAGGTTGTCAGATAGGAAACCTGACTTAGAAACCACACAAATGTCAAAAAACGATGTTGGATAACAGGGTGTTTCTGACTCAGGTTCATAACATACGAGTGACGTTGCAGTTTATGTGTAAAACTCCTGAATGCACAGCAAATACATGACATTTTGGCAGTATTCAGTATAATTCAGTAGCATGATGTACAGAAGTTGGAACGTAACATAGCCTTGCCATAACATTTGTCTGTTATGCGGCAGAATCGGTCCCTTAATCTAATACTGATGGCATACTTACTTTGGCGTACCTATGCCAGAGAAGTACAATCTTCGTATGGAAACACATTTCTATCTGTAACTTCTTTATAAATTCTGCTCCATTCTAGTAATAATAAAGTAACATCAGATGATATAATGAGGTTTGTTTACTTTCCTTTCCTTTCCTCAGGACGAGAGGTAATCTGATAACACGTCGCCTATGCAAGAACCGGCGCGAGGATAACGAACTGTATCGATCGAACAGTTTCAAGTTTGAGAGGTTCGAGCGGCACGAGGTCAACACCGGTGAGACCGCGAATCGCGTAAGGAGACAGGTCAGTCAACATTAATGCTACTCTGCTCTCACTAACCCTTTTCATCAACCCTCTTATCAGGGATGGAGAACTTTGAGGAAGTTTAGTTTGAGTTCTATAATCCAGAGATAACAGATAATTAACATATATAACTTCTTACAATATGTTAATTGTGATGAAATTTGTTTATGGATTACAGATCACAGAACTTTAAAATATATCTAAAATCTACATTCTACTAGATATTTTTGAAAGAATTTTCTTCTATAAAATTTACAAGAATTTTTTTCTATAAGAACAATTGATTCAATAAATAAAAAACAATAAGTTTTTTGTAAATGTTTAATTAGGACGTTTCGGGTATGCTCCATTATCAGGCGATTCTGCCAAAAACATTAAAAACGAAAACAATATTCATGAATAATATGATGATTACTTATATTCTTCAATAATTCTTTTTCGAGCGCTTTGATAAAAAATTACTGAATAGATTTATATATCAATATTGGTAAGTAATTTTTGTATCTCAATTTCTAATTAACTTCCCGTAGGGTAAGTTATAGTAATCGAAAAAATTCAAAAATCAAATTTTTTATATATCTTTACGTTCCGAAGGTTTCTGAACATTTTGGCATACCTTAGAAAAAATGAGTTTATGTGTGTTTATGCATGTTTGTGTGTGTGTATGTGTATGTGTATGTGTGTGTGTGTGCGTACACAAATTTTCGTCGACGATTTCGGAAATACGGGTCAACCGATTTCAATAATTTAAAAAAACATTTGATTCGTATTGATAAGGAGACGAGCTGATTACTTTTTGGCGAAAAGAGGTCGAGCCGTTTTGGAGATACAGGGCAAAAAGTGCTAGAAATAACAGATTTTTTTAAAAGAACGGAGCATCCGATTTGTATGATTCAAAAAAAACATTTCATTTGCATTAACGAAATGAAGAACTTATGAAATTTTTGGGAAGGCAGGTCTAGCGATTTCGAAGATCTAACAATAAAAGTGACAAAAAATGCCATTTGGCGGACAAAAATCATCAGAGTTCTAAAAAAATAGAATCTCTTTTAAAAGTTTTAATTTTTGGTACGGTAAGTTCCAGCAATTTGCCTTAAAGCACGATGCCACTAGTTTTTTCTTTAAAAAGGTACATGATCCATTCTTCAAGTTTTTAAACATTTTGTTCACCATCCAATTTGCCATCAATATTGCTTTTTTTATTGACAGTCCTAATGATGGAACGTATTTATTTCCGAAATAATTCATATTTAAATGTCTATAAATAACTTATTATTTTTTATTGTTTATTATACCGTTGTATACTTTTGTTCTATATTCTATTTTCATTTTATTTAGATTCTAATTAAAGTTTAATTAGATTCTAACTAAATTTTAATCAGATTCTGATTAGATTTTATTTTGATCGATATACTACTTACTTCGATATACTACTCTTTAAATCTTCCAATATCTGTTGGAAACAATACAATTCTGTTGAAATATCGTAATTTATATCGATGTTTATTTTTATTTAAAACTTCACAAGCAAATTTCGATATGTGGGGTTTCGAATAGTTTTAAGACTTTCTGATTATCTGATCAGAAATTATCACAGAAATTATAATCGATAAATGAGCATTTAATTGAATTAGACATTCTGGTGTGGGATACAAAAATTATCTAGAAAGTTTACAGTCTGAGAGTTTAGCATTCCAAATCGTAGTATTAATATTCTTTGTAGTTAGTTTCCACAAATGATTTCTTAATTATGATAGTTTAGTCTGTGGTTTATGTAATAAATTTATTTCTTAACAAATTCAAATACATCCTGACGTATAAAAAGAGCTATTTATGAACTCAAATATTTTGACATCAATTATAGAACGTATGCATTCTGATTGCTAATTAATTGAAAAAAAAAAATTGAAAATGGTACAAAAAATGAATTCAAAATCAAAGATGAATTTATAGTTTTAAATAATACAATTTTTAAACTGAAATTGACTAAACATAAATCGGTACTACGTTAGATGTCTATTTTAAAATAAAAAGGTGTTCTGAGTTTTTTTTTATCATTGCTTGTTATGAGCTATTTCAAATATTATTTTACTTATACAAACCGTATTCATTCATAAAATCAGAATAAATTACAAAACCCAAAATTACAAACGCCAACAAAAATGTTCCAGCCGTAGCGGGCCATTGCACTAATTATTGTTGACCTATAACTATTTTAAGAAAAAAATTAAATATTTGCCAGTAGTTGTTTTTCTATAATTTGCTATTTGCAGAAGTATTAGAGCGAACATATTTAATTTCCAAACATAACAAATGTATTCCGTCTATTTTTTGGACAATTCTTTTCCATTCATTCAGAAGTAATTACATCTTTTAGAAATAATTACATTATGTATTTAATAACTGAATTTATATAGTTGATGACATCGCATATTTGTCACAGTTTTTTAAAATTGTTTAATTTTTTGGTTGACGTCACTTTCTTAGAGCAATTAGCTACCTACAACATTTCATTTTTATATTCTATACTATTTTTTATAAATAATTTGTATTTGATTATTTACAATTAAATAAAATCTTATCTTCTCCATTGCAAATCTTGCTTTTTCTTCTTACTTCTAATTTTATTCTATTTTTTTTATTTGTATGCAATGATCAAAATAATGTCAGTAACTAATTCAAATTAAATGAACCATTTTTATGTCAGCACAGGGACTCGAACTGAGTACCCCTGACGTGTGAGTTGGGTATGCTTATAACTGAGCTACTTTTTGCAACTATGCATAGTAAAGCAGATAAGGGCTTTTTAAAATCCTCCAGAATTCATTAAAAAAATTATAGCAAACCATAATACTCAAGTGTTAAAAAAGTTTTTTGAAATAAATGTTACTACATGTAATTTTATTATTTATGTACGACTTGTGGATTATCAATCACTGGTTTCGGGGTAAATCCCCACCTTGGTCAGCTTGATATCAAGCGGGTGATAGCAGATTTTCTAAATGGTCTTTCGGTACAATGTTGCAATTTACATTCACATCACTATTAAAAATATATCTGTTATAATGTCATCAGAAAGAAAATTGTGAACCATTGGGTTTCCTTGTAGTAACCTCCAAGATGGCAAGTAAATTGTTTCAGTGAAAGAATGTTGTTTATTATTTAGAAGTATTATGTAGGAGTTCCATACAAATATTCTGGCAAATCTTTCCATAAATCTGTTTGTTTACATTTAACTCTATGCAAATTTTCTAGGCGTGCGGGCGTGTCACCTCTCATCGTGCGAATGTTGTCTAACAACTCTTACTTCCATTGATGAGAACTTACTCCGATTAAAGTACCTGTTCTTCCTTAGGAAACGATTAGAGTACAGTAGTTGCTCTACATAATAGAAAGTTGATTGAAATGAAGTTTTTTTCTATACCGCTATTTGAATTAACTTGGTTTTGCCTAGATCTTGATAATTCGTGGTTTTTGAATTGTTTTCGTATGGTTAGTTCTGCAAGAACGAAAGCTTTGAGTAATAACAAAGATGTTAATATACTTTCTATATTAGCTGTGCTTACTTTAAAATAAGATATAAAAAAATGAAGCAATACAAATTATCATTGTATATGAAATCCTTTTCAAGAGTTTTGTATAGAACAATCAATTTTTTTCCAACGCATCAAGACGAACCGAGTTTCTATTACATAACTTTAATTTGGATGTTAAATTTGCAATATATTTAATTTCATGTAAATTTATTTTTGATTTATTTTTTTACATATTTTCATATTGATTCTGAAATATGATCACGAGAAAAATTTAGTTAATAAAATTGTTTTTTTTGGCTTTATAGATTTTTTTTATAAGTTATGAATTAACCCCAGATATTATGGGTAAATTCATAATATCGGTTTTTTATGTAGAGAGAATAATCTATTTTTTTGAAAAAAGAGATATTTAGCTCGAAATTTCGATTTTTCTTTTAATTGGAACTTGATATTTGAAGTCTTTTTGAGCAGTTTGCAGTTTGGCTATAAATTTGGCTGGCAAAAAACCTTTTTAATAATAGTTAAATTTTGTTCAAGACCTTTTCGCACAAAATTTTGAACTAGTTAAAAATAAAAAACTGTTCAAATTATTTTGGCAATTGTGTTAATTACCTTTACGTTATATTCAAATGTCTAGAGAGTATAGAGCTTTCTTGGAAGATAATAGCAAAGATGTAATTATTATGCTATGTATAAATTTTACACTTAGTGTCATAGATATTTATTTAATTAAATTATAATATTACAATAATTCTATATTATTATCTTGTTATATTTGTTACAACTTTCTTAAATACATTTTTTATATTAGTGCAATCAATGACGCTTAAAGCATACTGTGTCATGACTCAATAAATTAAATTATAATATAACTGATAATAATAATCATTTGACGATGTCACTAAACTCATTAAATCTACATATGTGTCAATTACATTGTTTATCGCCAGATAACGTAGAAAGTGGTTTTTAATAAATATATTTATTGAAATTGTTATTTTGACTAACAACTATAATTATGCACTATTCTTTTTTATGATTGCTAGATCATTTATTACACGGCTAAATTAAAATTGCTCTTAATTACACGAATTAATTAAAAAATTGATTATTAATCATTAAAATTGATGGTAAATGCTATATATTTCTGGTATAAATTACAAGAAATAAGAGAATGCAATATATAAGTATACTACTTTATCAACTCCTGTCTTATCCATAATAAAACCTAAACGATAAAACCTAACGATAAATAATCACCGACTCAATATTTTTGTATTAATAGAAATTTAAGATTTTATCAATAATTATAGAGAAAAAAAATTCAAGTTTGGAAATAAGTTTTTTCCAAAAGCGATTGTTTCGCCAAGCAGAAAGTTTTTTGAATCATTCAAATCGGATGCTTAGTTCTCTCAAAAACTGCCATTTTTTGCACATTTAGCTTCGTATCTTCGAACTGGATGG